GTTCATACCACTAGTGACACTTGACATCGATGTATGTGTATGATTGCTATAAAAAAAGATTAACGTCCTGTATTTTTGAAATTCATTTGTTCCAATTGTCCATCTTGAAAAAAACGGTGGAAAGAAGATAAAACGGCAACAGCATGACTGACGCTAGCCAATGTAAAGTCAATCAGAGTTACCGTTTTAAATGGAACAATTATCAAAATCATTTGTCTAACGTCGTGCGGCAGCTCTTGGAGGAGGATTCAATGGTGGATGTCACTCTATCCGCAGATGGTCAACGTATTCATGCGCATCGCATTGTATTATGCGCGTGTAGTATTTTGTTTCAAGTAAATAATTTCAATTCAACGACATTTTTAGTCCTGTTCTTTTTGGCTGAACTTTGCACCAGTGCATGTTTCTTCTTGCTCTTCTTTCTTCTTGAAGAGAAAAGGGTAGAATGATGAATTGGTGAAAAAGTTCAGTTAAAAAGAACAAGCCTTTTGTTATATATACAAAATAATTCTACAAGGCTCGGAAAATCTTGCAATTAAGTGACTGAAAATATAATTGTACATATAGTGTGTTAGTAGTAGCAACAGTAACTACTGTCCTTGCTGAAATAATATTCTCTTGAAAATTTGTTTTGAATTTCTTATGTTATTTTGTTATTGTTGTGATATTATTTTGTATGAGAACTGTATTGAAAGAAATGTAACACAATAATGTTTTATTCTTTGTAACGTTTATACATAAAATAACTACAATTTTCATAATATTATGAAGTGTATTATATATATTGATAAATTTATTATTAATCATTATATAACCATTTGTATCACAATAATTATGAGATTAATATTATATGTAATTCATAGGAAGTGCTAAGTCAAGTGACAGAAGATTATCCAACGATTATTCTAAGCGATATATCTCCTCAGGATATTAAATCGATTATCGAATTCGTATATCATGGAGAAATTTGTGTTCCTGTTGAAAATATCACCAGCTTACTTGAAGCTGCACGGTCGTTAAAAATAAATGGTCTTATTAACGTTAGTATCAAATTAATTCGTATCAACTTAATTCGATTTTTTATTACAATTAATAGTATCAACTTAATTCGATTTTTTATTACAATTTATCAAGTTTTTTTTTAATTTGTTGTAGAATTTTATATTTAACAGTTCGGAATTTATAATCATATTTTATGTTTTCAACAGATAGATGGAGTTTATGAAAACGAAATTGTTAAAGGAAAAAAAGATCAAGCAATGGAAGAAATTGTGTCAAGGGTAGAGGAAATTCAGGACAATGCTGAACCTTTGGAGAATGAAACTCATGAACCAAGCACCGCTGAAAATTGTATTTCAAATAAAAAGAAGAAACGACGTCGTGATACTGGAAAGAGAGAATACAGTGATGATATGTTAGCGTCTGCAATTAATGATTTGAAATTAGGACAAACTTTAATAGAAGCTGCTACTAAGCACAATATACCACGCTCAACGTTGTATATGCGGGCGAAAGCATTAGGCATACATTTAAATGCATCAAGAAATGGATATCCTGCAGAATGCATGAATGCAGCTATAAACGCCGTGATCAGTTAGTATTATTCTTATACTTAATTTATTCTTTCTTTAGAATGTAATTCTGTTTATTTTTACATTAGATTATTCTAGTATGCAATATATGTCTGCAATTATTTAATAATTATATTTAGACTATTTAATTATGCTAACTTTATTGTAGATGGTTCGAGTTTGCAGCATGCATCAGAAATATTCAGAATACCTAAAACTGTATTATGGAGACGTATACAAAAGGAGGGCTATCAGATCTTACGTCGTCAAATGAAAAGATCGTATGCTTTAGATACGAAAGAGGCCGCTGTTAAAGCTTTAGAAAGAGGAGAAAATTTGACAAAAGTTGCTCTGGAGTTTAAAGTAATTTTTATTACTGCAATTTTGTTTATTGCTTTTGAATTTATGTTGTAAACAGATTTAACAGATTGTTAATCGAATGTAACCTAAGATGTCAATGATGTTTAGATACCAAAGACTACATTGTTTAGAGAAAAGGCACGATTAGTAAATCAAGGTAAATTACCGTTATCGTTTTGGAAGAAGCGCAAACCTGAGAATGAGGAATCAAAGAAGTCGCGATTAGAAGAGGCTGTAGCGGCTTGCAAAGGTGGCAGAATGTCGCAGGCTGCAGCGTCCATGATGTATCACATTCCAAAAACTACGATATGGCGAAGACTTCAACAAGATGGGAAAAAAGCGGAAAAATCATCGAATGTGAAAAAGGAACGACTAACTGGTACACCAGTACTACATGACTCTCAGGTGAAAATACAAGACACGTCCAATTTCAGTTATTGCGAGGTAATACACTTGAATTATCAAGTCCCTTCAATATAATTTTATTGCTAATGAATTTGTGATATGCATATAGGTTGGATCAGAAATACCTATAACTTATATAGACGAGGATAGTATACCTCAGGATTCCGTCATAATCCTAACAACGGAAGAAATGGATGAATTAAACTTGGAAGGAGGTAGACAAATTATTGTGAATTCGGTACGTCACATACGAATAATTTGTATTAATTTTTACGAATTTAAATAGCGGATTGATTAATTTTGCCTTCATTTCTACAATCCAATCTTTATTTTTCTTCAGGAGTCCGGACAGGAATATATTCCATGTACGATAAGTATCGAGAATAATTCCAACTATTCCGAGACTGAGAGTTAGCGTCAGAAATTTAAGTAATGAAAAGCTAATTGATAAATTAGGGATGAGCGATATAGAAAAAAATGTTGATATTTCGTATCATAATATATTGTAAATAGAAATATTGATATATCAAAATGTAGAATTGATAATTTGCAACATTGCTGATATCGATATGGATCTGATATTTTTAAGCGATGTGCACCAATACGTAACGATGCACAAAAAATCGATCTTTTGCATTGAAAGTCCGATATTCCTGTTCAAATGTCGATATATTTCTGTTGAAATGTATGTGTTTATGACCTACAGGTGTATCAAGTTGGAGTTAGGGTAAGAGATTTCAGTATTTCAGGTGCTGAAAATTCCGGGTACGGTGCGCATGTTCTTTTTTTCGCGATTCACTTTTTGCCTTCGCCTTTCGTTTTTTTGTTTGTCACAATTACCACAAAATAAAGAGTTGTTGTAAAACAGTCGTGTCTCCTTATTGTGCGTTAGAAGAGAAAGTACTAAAGGCACGCCTTCAAGATGTGTCTAATATTCTAAATAATTTTAATATCGAAATTCAATATAAAAATTGGGAAAATATATCGATATTTGAAATGTTGGCGCTGTATCGCCTATCTCTATAATGAACCCTTAACTACAGCAATGATTATTGCTATATCGAATCATTTGAATTTGAAAAATTTAGATGGTTGTGTGATCTGTACACTCACCATATGTACACCTAAGTTTTCAAGCATTTTTATTTAACCTACAATTTAATATTGTATTGTACCAATCGACATGTACATTCACCGATTAAAAGGTTGCAACAAATTTTTTTCTATGCAGTTTGCGACATTCTGCTATCTTTGCAAGCCACTACAGCCGCTTCTAATCGCGATTTCTTTGATTCCTCATTCTCAGGTTTGCGCTTCTTCCAAAACAATAACGATAATTTACCTTGATTTACTAGTCGTTTGCCTTTTCTCTAAACAATTAGCTTTCATACTTACTGATCCATAAGTAAGAACCAATCGCTCAGTGAGTAGATTGTATTCCGAAAACCATAGAAAAAAAAATTGTTGCAGCCTTTTAGTTAGTCGGTGAGTGTACATGTCGATACAATATTAAATTGTAGGTAAAAAAGACGCTTGAGAATTTAGGTAGTTTTTATTGGCCATAATTGAGGGTTGTATAGATATTAAGAATATGATAGAGGGGTATGTAGACATTATGTAATATCTTTAAGTTAAAGCTAATTGTAGCACGATTGTATAATTGAGAGGATGGGCGGAATAAAGGCACAATTCTACTTAGGCCTTTTTTCAGGCAATTAGCTTTTTCATGTATTATTGATCGTAATAGAAAAGTATTGTAACATGTAATTTCTTAAAGACATTACATAAATACATTTGATATTGTACCCATTTGTGTATAGTAAAAAAGTAGCAAATTATCTTAGTTTTTATTAATATCAAGACTTTGTAATTAGGTCTTTATTCCGCCCATTCCCTCAATTATTTTATTTATGATATCTTAACAAAGTGTATTATACAAATATTATATTGTATTTACTTATATCAAGTGTGTAAAATATATTGTAACTGTCACATACACATTCAATAAAATTTTTTTATAAAGTTTGATTAAATAGAGCGCCAGATATTTAAAATTTGCTTTTTAAATTTATGATAATTTTTAATTTATGAAATTACTTATCTAAAATAATGTCTCAATAGGAAAATTGCTTTAAAAATTTAATTTGAATAAGCAATTCAACAAAATACAAAATGCAATATTTTTATTTGTTAATTTGTAATAACGATAGTATTATTCTAAGCAATTAAAGCATAATTATCTTTTGAAGAATTATTGTGAAAAGATACATTTTTATGTTATATGTTAAATTTTGTTTTATTTTATATATATATAACATTCAAAATATTAAATCAATAATGGCAAGTGATAGATAACAAATAATAAATATTTTTGAGAAAATGCACAAGTTATCTGTGTATATCAAGTTTTTATGCTTTAAGTTTGGTTTCATATGACTTAGAATTTTGCGAATCTTGCGTGCATAAATCTTGATCGATAACAATGCTGTATGATTTGATAAAACGCTCACGTGAAATCTAGATTATCTGGAATATCTAGATTATCAATCCATGTATATATCGACAATGAGAGCGATTTATTTCGTAACAATAGTTCACTAATTGTAAAATAGAGAAGGACAGAAGTGCGATAAATAAACAAAACTTAGAGAAGGTTAAGACAGAAAGCAAAAGAGAATAAGAAAAGAAAAAAAAGGATAATGTTGCACTCCTAAAACTTTAAAAGGACGTTTGAGTAATTGGAGTGTGCATTGCGCAAGTCACACGCATCCGACACGTCGGTGTGCGCGTGTCACGTACGTGAAATCCTTCACTCGTAGCCGCACGCGTAGTAATTGCGCGCATTAACACGACACGCGGCCGCAGCCACACCAGCGAGGTGGTGATTGTCCAGGTGAGTCCCGTTTCCCATTGTTGCACCACGCGATAAGAGAGGTGAGTGCTCTCTCTCTCTTGGAGAAGAGAGACGCGAACGCGGTGCGCACATTTCTGACCCTCGACGCAACGAAATCGTGCCGTCGGTGGTGACCTGGCGTCGCGACTCGTTCTATCAGCGATCCTTCTGGTTCAAGAGGAGGCGGCGGCTAGAGTAAAAAATCGCGTACATCTCACGAGAGGATATGCCGGACAGCGGGGCCGTCTACCAACCGACCACCGTCGGCTACACGTACGACAGCGGTGGCGACGGCAGCGGTGGTGGTGGCGGCGGCGGCGGCGCCGCCGGGCTGAGGCACGGTTTCTGGCGCATCGTATCCAGGCACAAGCTCAATTCCAGGAAATGGTTGGAGTGGACGCTGCTGTCGGTCGCACTATGCTTCTTCGTCGCCGGCCTCACGACCATGCTCGTCAACCTCGTCTCCGCAGAGGAGTCTTTGAAGACGAATGACGGTGCTGCATCGGAGGTAAAAATCTTAGTTATTGTCCGCAATATGCAAGACTTATTGTAAAATTTTGATCTTTTATTTTCTCCGACTTTTTTTTTTCCATCTGAAACATTTAAAAATCTCTCTTGTGATAATAAAGTACATAAATTTGTCTAGAAAGACTAAAAGAAAATTTTCATATCAAACTATTATTAGGCATTGTTAGTTTTTTTCTTGCTATAATTGAACCTTAAGTTTATTTTATTTCTATTGAAGGTGATTATAAACTGATATGAAATTAATATGTAATAATTATAGATAAAGCCAGAAGGATATTCAACGACGGTTCCAGATGTACAGCAACATGAAAATACAGGAAAGAGTTCTGTGGCGTTAGGTGCTGGGATAATGCTGATCGGTGTATTGCTTGGTTTTGTTTGGACATGGCTTACTTTTTTCCATCATAGCAAATCACCAAGGAACGGCATGACGAGTAGCAGTGGTCAGGTAAGCGTACAGGTTTCCACCCGAATACAATATTTTGCGTCTAATTTTATTTTACCGGAAGCCATCCGCTCTCTGGTATGTTCTGGTACATTTGTTTCTTTATCTTATGTACGCGTTGCTATGAGGAAAGATGTTGGGCGGTTTGAATCCATCGACTGACTTGCTGGTGGGTTCCACTTCGCAGTACGGGCCAGTACTCACAGAGGTGCCAAGCCAGCTGAAGATAAAGCAAGCCAACTCGCATGACATGCCGGCCATACCGCTTTCCGACCAAGAGGAGGAAATGCACACGCTAATGCAGGACCCTGCGAGCCCGCCGTCGGTTTCCGTTGGATCTAACACCATCACTAATCAAATTCCAGGTTGAGTAAAACGATTGCTCCCATGTGCGTACAAGCGCGTATATAACATGGACATAGAATTTCGTTTTATAAATTTTCTAACACGCTCCAAGAGATTTATTATCACTGCGTGACGATTTTGCAAGTCCTCTGTTTCGTTTAAAACTCGAAAGAACTGTCGTCCCTTCTGATTTTCAAGTCGTGGCGTTCAGCTCCGGTCTACAATAGGTAACCCCTTTAGCATTTTGCTCTAAGCTCTGAGCTGCGATGTTAATTTGCTCTAAGCTCTATTTAAAGCTTAGAGATTAAAACAGTGTCGGGTACACTTTTTGCCGTGAAAAAGCGTTATGATTTATAACTTAGAACAAAAAGGCTTATTACTATCTATTATAAACTGGGACTTATATTGTCATTTGACGTTGATCTTGTGATTAAAAAAATTTTATTTTATTTAAAAAAGCTGAACACTTTATAATTTATATTTAAGAAATTTTTATTTAAGTTTAGACAATTTGATAAATACAATTTGAGAGATCTCGTTTCTAGTATATTTAAGAAGTTAAGTACTTATTTTTTTCTTTCATTTTTGCTTATGCATTTCTTCATTCCGTCCACTATCATTATTAATATGTTAAGTAAGCATTGGATCCAGATAAAAAAATGCAATTATGACAATGCGTTTCATAAATTTGATAACAATCTTTACATCAGAACTACTGAATTTATTAACAATCTTTACATCAAAAGTACTGAATTTATCACACAAAATATTTTTTTTAATTTACGTTTGTAATGTTAAATAATATAAATATAATTTTCACTATACACTCTACATATACGCTTTATGCAAATTTGCATGCATCTAGGCTGAAAATCTAAATCATTTTACTTTGATTCAATATGCTCATGGTACGTATATAACATATATTTAAGTACCAAGTCTAAATTAGTAATAATAATAGCAATTATATTGACAATATACATTGTAAATTAAACACATATTGGTACGTATATCAATTAAGTCGGTAATTGTTACTGTAATTAATACACAAAACGATTATGTATATATTAATGTAATGTGTATATATATGAAACACATATAAAATGAAACGACTGCAACGTTAGAGAAGATATTTGGTTTAAAATTGTTTAAATTGTGCTTAAACAATAATAAGCCACGAGCATGCTGCAATGCACAATTTTTGTTTTCGTTTACATTTTTATTTTTAATTTGTGATATACACAATAATAAGTTTACATCGCACATGATATTATAAAGTAATCCTCTACATTGGGCATATTTGCTTTAATGGAATATCTATTTGCACATACTTTTCATGATTTTATATAATTAATTTAATTGATCTCTCACATAGATAATATAAATGTAGAGCTCATCCTGTAAGATATTTTTAACGGAATATATAACGTTAGAGGTATATATGTTCTGGGTATATATACAGCATGGTTCATATATAGCATTGTATAAAACACCGATTTAAAATAATTTTTATATGTCTGCCGTTATTTGCTAAAGCGATGTGTTTAATTTTATAATATGCGATAAGCATTTCGGAGGAACCATCAAAGGACGGCCTGTAAGTTTGAGTCTGAATTCAATGCTATTACAGATCAATCACACATATAATAGCTTCATTTTTTAACATTTATTTAAAGATTTAGTGAGATCCTTATTATGCCTGTGTTATTAATTCGTGTACTAATTTATGTAAATGTTCTGGAATGTAAGATAAATAAATAATAAAAATATTACTCACGACTTTTTTTCTCTATAAGCTTTAAAATATTAATATGTATATATTAAAGAATCTATTGTTAACCCTTGGGAGCTGACGATGGGTCTATTGGATCTATTCAATTACACATCTGTTTGTCAAAGAATGTAAATTCAGTTTTCCTTATTTAGATTATTCTTATTAAAATATACTTAATATTCATTCTTTTTTTGTATGAGTTATGCCATTTTTTGTATTTAAAAATTAATGCTTTTTAATTAATGCTTTTTAATTAATGTAAATTAAGTGTAAGTCTTATACAGACTTATGTCTGTTTTTACTAATGTAGTTTAATTTTAATTTCGGTACAACTTTTCATCTTTTTCTGATTTTAAAAATTAAAAAAAGATGAAGAGTAAGTTGAACTGAAACGTCTTGATACATTATTAGAAACGGGCATCGGTCAGTAACTGTGTTACAAATTTTGGTATCAACTCCCGGAGTGTTAAAAGCACGAGCGTATGCAAAGGGAGAGCAAGTGTTCACTCTCTAAAATTTTTGCAAGGAGAAATAATTAAATCATGAAAATCATTCTCACGACAAAAAGTTAAAGCTCTGATCAAAGTGGTCAAGCATTATTCGTACGAAAGTTCGTTAAAGATCCTTGAAGACTGGTTTTAATATAAATATTTTTATAAGTTTTGTGTGAAGATTAATTTTTTCCCTCCTCTCTGATTGAAATTCTATGCTAATAATTAAAAGTATATTCAACTACTAATGTATGTAAGATTAATTTCGGTTCAATTTACTTTTTACCTTTTTCTAATTCTAAAAATTAGAAAGATTATCAGCAAGTTAAACCGAAATTAATTTTATATTCCAGGGAAAAAATGTTATATACAATATATGGACATATTTTACATATAATTATATATAATTGTATATAAAATATGTCAATTTTTTATATAATTATATATAATTTTATGTAATTTTATATAATTTTATATAATTATATGAAACATTTTTTTCCGGGTTGATGGAACTAATAGTCTCAAAGTTTTAAGAAAAATCTTACTTTTTCTCTATAAATCAGCATCCGAATTGTAAATTAGTGTAGATATTACTTGAGAAATTATAGTTGATATATTAACGGGATTTAATTAAAGTCACTCTAGAAATTGTCATTTTAATTTTCAATAATTTTCGACTTAAGTAAAACACGCCACTTTTCTAAGAAGCCAATTCTTTCATAAAAAGTTATTGATGTTTTTCATATATTATTACTTATCTTCGATCGCTAGTATAAATATGCTTTACGGAGTAACGATATAGGAAAAGTCGGTCAAGTTTCTTTTTCTTTATCATAAGGAACATATCGCTAGTAGTAAACGATATGATAAAATCTGCATCGGTAAAACATATTGTTTCGAAAGAAAAAGATGCCGCGTAAAAAGCGTCATTGTTCGATATCTTGAGAACGATAAACCCAAAAGACACCTCGGTTACAAAAGGTTAACGCGTTTGACATTTCTATCAGCTGTCGCGCTCAATATGGCTGCCCGCGCAAGTCGCGTTTTCTTCCGCAGCACTGGAGAGACGCCTACATTAGGACGAACGTGGTGAACGCGATCGAGGTGCACTAAATTGCAAGTCGCATGAGTATTTCGGCTTCGCAATGGCGGGTAACGATGTAGTACTGGAGGGATTTATATGCCCTATATGCATGACCGATTTTAAGGCACCCAGTCATTTAACGAAGCACTTCGAGGAAGTTCACAATGATGATCCGGAGATCCTAAGATCTCTGAAAGGTATGCACGATTCTTTTGCAATTTATTTGTCAAGAAAAAACTCATAGAATCCTACTTCTAGTTTATTAAGCTTGTAAAATGTGTACAGAACAAATGTTATAATATATTGGATTTTACTCTAGATTTGTTTGGCAAAGCCAAGAAAAAGATTTTGAAGCAGGACGATATACCGGAAACATTTCCAAGCGCAATACAGCAAGACAAGAGACGGAGTCCTGAAATTAATTGGGGACCACAAGAAATAGGTAATGCAGTGATACTGATGAGTCAAAGTCTGTCTTTGACAAGAAATAATTTTTTTCATTAAAGTTTCTAAATAATCAAATGTAGATTTTTAGTTTCCTAAAATCAGTATTTAGAAATAAATGTACCTCTAAATGCATAATTAAATTTTATGTGATGTACATTTATTAATTTCTAAAAACTATTCCAGGTGCAATTACATCTCATACGAGATATTTTAAGGATATAAGAAATGCTCGATTAGAAAGATACGCATATGAAACAAATAAACTTCTTATAAGGTTAGATAAATTATTAAATAACTTACCATCGGATCCTGTCGATAGAAAAGGTGAGAAAACATATAAATTACTTATCCACTGATATATGTCATGATATCTACTTATATTTTATATACAATTAGTGCTTAATGTAAATACAAATTTTTACAGTTCATGAACGCTCAATTGTTCCGTGGATTGATGAAAAAGATGTGAAATTGTGTCCTAATTGTGCTAAGAGTTTTCATTTGGCAAGACGAAAACATCATTGTAGATTATGTGGGGCAGTCATGTGCCATAATTGTACGGTATTTTTGTCCCTGATCGATGCACGTATGTAAAACATTTAATATTATTTCGAGTGCTTTTCAGTTACGGATAATATAGAGTTATAGAGTAAAGAGAATTATTTCATTTTTGTTTAACGTTAGCAAATATGGATGTAATGATTCACTGGCTACTTTCCTTTTAGGAAACAGTCAACACAAATGTCATTCTATCCTTCTTGGTATAAATAATAGAACGACGCTTATGTCAAATGTATTTCTTAAAAAGGAAAGCAGCCTATTGTGTCACTTATGTCTTTTGCTGAAAAGTATTTCTAATTTACGAAATAATTTGTATACATTCTGAAAATTATGCTTAACAAAACAAATTTTTTTAATAGGAAAGATGACTAGTCCCGTATCGATACAAGATGATTCTGCTTTGTCTCCTATATCAGAACGAACATTTCCCGAAAGAATAGCACGTGCAGGCATAGGTCTTTCAAAATTAGCACGATCACCTTCCAATGGTAGTTTAAATAGCGTTTTATCATTGGTCAATGATTCAACTGGTAGCGAACAGCACTTTAGAGTCTGTACTCATTGCATAAATTTGCTCGATGCAAGAGAAATGCAGAAAGCGAAGCAATTCGATAAACCAATTGTTTGTGAATTTTATGAAAAAATGAAGGAGTACATGAGCGAAGCGTCGCAGCATTTAGCAATGTACAACAAAATGTGGGAATCGCTAAAGTATGTGAACTTCCATTATATTTAAGACAACGTCAATCCATCCATATCATATAATATATTGCATTAAAAAAATTATAATATACAGAGTGACTTCCTTGGTGTGCAAGTTATCAATTATAAAATTAGTATTGGAAGAACTTATATTAGAATGCTCTTAAAACTATTTTAGAGAAGGCGAGACTACATATGGTTTAGAGGACGCACACTCATTACGAGTCAAATTGGCAAAATTGGGGGAAAACATAGATGCCACCAGCAAAAGAATTCTAGTCCTTGGCGTGAAGAAAGATGCAACGGATTCGCAGGAGGCATTGGGACAAGAATTGAGACTATACCAGATGGTTAGAACATCAGCAATGATATTTTTGAAAGAAGAGTTATTAACTCTGCAACCCTTGCCCTCGGTAGAGGAATATGCAGTTTTACAAGAAGAACGCCAGAAAAGGATAGAAGCCCGAATAGCATACGAGTGGCAGTTGGAGGAAGAACGAGAGAAACCAAAGGAACAACGCAAGAAAGATACATGGAATTTGGACAGTAGTCCATCTTTGAAAACCAGTCAGGTATATTAACAAATTAGAGCAGATAATTAAGGACAGGAATTTTCCAAAGTATAATCACATTTAATATCAAAGTTATAAAAAGCTAAATATTCAATCTATTCTTTTTTATAGCTCTTATATATAGCTTTTTTCATATATATTATTTTAATTAATGTGAAGATTTTTCAAAATATTTCTCTTTTAAAAAATGATTGAATAATCTAAGATTTAGATTTTATTATCGGATTATTGATATGGCTATCTGATGACTCACATTTCATCATAAGTTTTCAAATTTTTAGGCACAAGTAATGGTGACTCAATCTCAAGGCTGGGGTCCATCTCATATTACACCTATCATGTCTTCATCTATGGATCCAATAATCGAACAAATGAGTAATCTTCGCGCGTACATTAAACAGGCCCGTGCTGATTGCAAGTACGATGAGGTTGCAACGTTAGAAAACAATCTCCGAGAACTTCAAAGTGCCTACTTTGCTATGAAACAAAGTAATAGCAATGACGGATAGACATTAAAACAGCACATTTATTACTTTAGCATGTAAAATGTTGAATTCTTCTATATATTGTATATATATATATATATATACACATACACACACATATATATATATATATGTATATATACATACACATATAATTATTACTATTAATTTGCAAAATATTTAATAAATTCTCTTGAATCAAAATCTTAAAATGCATATTCTACAGTGGATAAATACACAAGAATATAATCCACAAGATATTTCAATATAAAGATTCCTTAATAGTTTTTATATTCATTAATATCACTTATACTCACTTTTTCTATTTATTCACAAATTAATTAATGGTGTCTTAGTGTCTCAACTACATATTTTTAATTGTTCTTAAAATATATTTTGTAAAAATATATATCAAATTTTTTTTATAACACTACAAATTAATTTATGTAAATATTTGTAAAAAATACGAGAAAATTGACTCATTGTAAGGATTCCATTTTTTTGATAATTTATTGGTACAAGATAGACAAATACATTTTATTTGAGTGGAATAAATCGTGAAGAATGAGTAGCACCAATACCAGGTCTACCGTGTTTAACAGGTTTGTATGTAACAGAAAATTCTCCAAGATAATGGCCGATCATTTCTGGTTTGATTTCAACTTGGTTAAAAGTTTTACCATTGTATACACCAACAATCGAGCCAACCATTTCTGGAACAATAATCATGTTACGCAAATGCGTCTTTACAATCTCAGGTTTTTCGTTAGGTGGCGTTTCCTTCTTTGCCTTGCGTAGCTTCTTGACAAGAGCCATAGACTTTCTTTTCAAGCCATGAGAAAAGCGTCTACGTGCTCTAGCATGCATCAAATCCATCAGCTGTTCACTGGAAAAAATTATTGGTTGATGAAGTTCCTCGTTCGTGTTAACAAATATTCCATTTATTTTGAATTAAAAAAATATATATTATAAAAAAGAACTGTTTATGTACAATTATATAAGTATTGTTCAATTTTAAGATTATTAGAAGCGATCTACGAGCGTAGATTATAATTCTTCGTAAGGTTAAGTAATTGTTATATAGGTTAGATTGCATTCAGAAAATCAATATTACTTTGGCATATCCAGGAGTTGATCAAGATCGACCCCTCGGAAGGTGAACTTCCTAAAGGTCCTCTTCTTTTTTTGAGTTTCATCTGCCTGTGAAGAACAAAAAAAAATAATTTAATATTTAGATGTGACAGCATGACAACCAAATATATGGGTACATCAATATTATTCTAACGATATACTTTGACAATTAAGTAAAATGTATGATTCATGCAAATACACTTTGCATAATGGATGTGTGAGGATTTTGTGGATTTAATATTAAATTTCGAAAACTCACCTCTGCCATTTTCGCGATTCTTTGAAAAGACTTGCGTCAAAGAACGATAGGATACAAGAGAAAAGAACACGTTTTTCTAGCGGCAATTTTCATGCGCATGCGTGATCACGTGACCATTCTAGATAAATTATATCATCGATGAGATACATTAAAGACTGTCAACTCACAACAAATTATTGTAATTATCACCAGGGTTCATGGTGAAAAGGATAACATGGTATATGAAATTGGACAGTATCTCTTTCTAAATTTCTGCCCTCTCCGTCTATGGACTGTTAAGGTATATCCACACAAACTTGCATAGCCGCATAAACGTATGCATAAAGAAAATTATCCAATCACATTTTATGTACGAATTTAAAAGAGAACTGCAATTGGATAATTTTCTTTATGCATATGTTTATGCAGCTATGCAAGTTGTGTGGATATACCCTTAAGCGGGGAGCACAGACTCTTGCATAACGCATAACACGTAATGCATAAGAATATGTACCAATCGAAGTTCTCCGTTTCTTTTCCTTCCATGTAATAGAGAACTCTGGTTGGTTCAATTTCTTATGCCTTATGTGTTATGCGTTAGTCCGGATCTACAATAGGTGTTTTATGCCTTATGCCGTAAGAAACTGACCAATTACAGTCGAATCCGAGAAGAATAAGCGACTGTGATTCGC